GCAGGGAGTCTGCTTCTCCCTCTGACCCTCCTACCTCTCATGCTCTCTGTCTCTCATTCTCTCTCTCTCAAATAAATAAATAAAATCTTTAAAAAAATAAAAAATAAATAAATAAAATTCATCATGAAACGTTACCAACCCTTTCTATGTTACCCCTTACTCTAGAATCTTTACTACAAAAAGGTCTTATAATTCCCAACTGCACATCAGTAAATGGAGACATAATGTGAGAAAGTAACTAGGAAACCACAAAAAATAGGTCTTGCTTGCAACTCAGTCATTGGAATTTTTTTCACAACCATTTTTGTTCTCTAATAAATTTCAAAGAAATTGATTGATAGAAGTAAAGATGCTCTTCAGATCTGTGGTTCAGATGGCCACAGTGAAATAAAATCCTGACTGGATAGCTTATGAACTGGGATACCTTCTCTAATTGGAAAGAGGTTTAAAACATGGGAAGCGGTCAGGGATATGTTCCTGGACCAAATAGGGTCCAGGTTGCAGCTTGCAGCAACTCTTCATCTTAGAAAGGAAGAGATAAATAGGTGACTGAGTAATACCAGACTTGCTTTCTGATTCTTACGGAGCTTTGGATGTTGTGAGTAATAATTAGCTTTGTAAGTATCATATTTTATTTTTGAAGAGAAAATCCACTAGCATCTTGGGTGATAGAAAGAGGCTTTGAAACATATGGCTGAGGGGCGCCTGGGTGGCTCAGTTGGTTAAAGCAACTGCCTTCGGCTCAGGTCATGATCCTGGAGTCCCGGGATCGAGTCCCGCATCGGGCTCCCTGCTCAGCGAGGAGCCTCCTTCTCCCTCTGACCCTCCCACCTCTCATGTACTCTCTCTCATTCTCGCTCTCTCAAATAAATAAATAAATCTTTAAAAAAAAAAAAAAGAAACATATGGCTGATAACAAATCATTCAGGCAAAAAATTAGATTCCTGGTAGACAAATGTTTCAGAACAATTGAAAACAGGAGTCGGCAAACCATGGCCTGTACGCTAAATATGCTCACTGTCTATTTTTGTAAATAAAGTTTTATTAGCACACAGCCACGCCCACCTGTTTACGAATTGTCTCTGGCTGCCTTTGCACCACAATGGCAGAGTTGAGTAGTTGCAACAGACACTTACAAAGTCTGAAATATTTATTGTCTGAGCCTTTACAGAAGAAGTTTGCTAACCTCTGGTTTAGAATCTAGAGAAAGCTACATACTTTCAAAATGACTTCAGATTTTTCTCCATCTAATTTAGCCTAGAGAACTCCAATAATGCCACAAATATTTGAGCAAAGGAAAAAAAAATCATCTTCCTTTCTCATATACAGAAATGATGAAGCCTGTGCCAAGGAAATAACAGGTCTTTTGTCTGTAAGGCTGTAAAAATCATAGAAAGGTAATAAAGCAAATATAAATGTCAAGATGACTTCATTTGAGCAACAGCTTTAAAAGAAAGCAATATTCAAAGCTTAGTAATCAAGCTTATAAATGAAAAAAAGTAAACAATAACAAGACATAAGTTAATTCATATAATAACAATTGTTCCTTTCCTGAGATAGAGCATGAAAGAAAAGCATTTGAGTTTGTAATGGTGGAGAACAGGGACAACTTGTAGCCATTTACGTACTCTTAGCCAAAAGCATGGCATATTGCTCCAGGTTAACATACCTTTTCAGGTATCAGAAAGTCATCCTTCAGATACCTGACCCTTGGAGACAATTTTATAAAAAGAACCCAGGATGAGAGGCAGGACCATCAGTTACAAGTATTGCAGCAGGAGTAGAAAACCCAAACTGTAGGTTTTTTTGTTTTTAGGAGAGAGAGAGTGCAAGCCACAAAGGGAGACACAGAGAGAAAATTCTAGCAGGCTCCATGCCCAGTGTGGAGGCTGATGCAGGGCTCAATCTCATGAGTCAGATGCTCAACCGAATGAGCTACCCAGATGCCCCCCAAACTGTAGTTGGAGCATCCTTACAGACAAGACTGTACAGCCTTGGGCAAAAGCATAATGTCTCTGACCCTTGGTGTCCAATACAGTTGTTGTAGAACCAAGGAAGATGTCTGAAGTGATTTGCAAACTGAGGCAAGTCATACAGATTGGTATTAAGTGCCTATACGTCATCATACCTTTTACCCCTTCCCCTCCCAACCACTAGTCTATATGGAACTGAGCGCTACAGCTTCAGGTTGTTCTTCTTTTGAAATGGGCTCCACTGTGGTTTCACACTCACCACATAAGATTTTGGAAAGTCCAAATAATAAGCATAATCAGTCAAACTCATGTGCCAGCTGAGCTTTTAAAGAATTTGAGAATAATTTATTATAGGAATAATACATATTCATCATTAAAAAAAAGATACAGAAAAATTATATATATATATATATAATTGCAACAACCAAAGATGAGTGCTGTACACCTTGATAGATACACTTTGAGATGATTTTCTATGAGTATTTTTTTAAATGGATCATAATGTTTTAGAACCTGCTTTTTTCACTTAGTCTTATAACAAAGTGTGGCAATGAATGCTATCACATCACTTTTAGTGGTTGAGTGGTGTCATGTCAGATTTAATTGACCACTCATCTTCAAAAATAGTATTAGTTAGGAAGTTTAAAAAATGTTTTATGGAAAATTTTTACCAATCATATTTCTAATGAGGGACTTGCATCCAGAATATATAAACAACTCTTGCAACAAAATAAAAAGACAATGCAATTTAAATATGAGCAAAGTTTCTAAGTAGTCATTTCTCCAAAGAAGATATACAAATGGTCAATAAGCACATAAGAAGATGTTCATCATCATTAATCATCAAGGAGATGCACATCAAAACTACAGTGAGATACTACTTCATACCCACTAGAACAGTGGCTGAAATAATGATAAAGAAAGATAGTAACAAGTGTTGGCAAAGATGTGGGAAAACTGGAACCCTTACGTACTGCTGATGGGAATATAAAATGGTGCAGCTACTTTGGAAAATAGTAGCAGTTCCTCAAAAGTTTAAACACAGAATTATAGTATGACCCATTAATTCCACTCCTATGTATATGTCCCCCAAAATGAAGACATGTATCTACATAAAAACTTGTACACAATGTTCATAACAGTACTATTCATAAGAGTCAAAAAGCCCAAACAACCCAAACGTCATTCTGAAGGAATGTACATTCTGAGCAACGAGTAAATAAAATCTGGTATATCCATACAATGGAATATTGCTCAATCATTAAAAGGAAGTACTGATACATGTTAAAGCATGGATGAACCTTAAAAAAAGTATGCCAAAGGAAAAAGGCCAGTTACTAATAACCTAATCTTACACCTAAAGGAGCTACAAAAAGAACAACAAATAAAACTTAAAACCAGCAGAAGGACGGAAACAAGATGAGAGCAGAAATAAATGATGCAGAAACTAAAAAAACAACAGAACAAATCAATGAAACCAGGACCTGTTTCTTTGAAAAAAATCAATAAAATTGATAAACCTCTAGCCAGACTTATCAAGAAAAAAAGAGAAAGGACTTGAATAAATAA